GATATATGACCTTCATTTTTTAGTGGAGCAAGGTTAGAATGACATTAATTTCGTAACAGTACTAAAAAAATCAGGATATAACATATTAGCTCTATCATCATAAAGGGGCATTGCACTGTGTTGGATGAATGGAAAGGAGCTCTAGATACTACCCTTGAGATTTGCTAGAATGAACAGCAAGTTGGAGTAATGAGAGAAAAAACAATTTATAATCCCTAACTTCACATAATAGTCGGTGAGATGGAAAACAAACCTACACAGCATCAACGACTAATCTAGGTAGCTTAGCTTATTAAGCCAAAGCCGTGGAGGAAAAACAAGAATATCCAAACAAGAAGATGAAAACAATCTGGGGCATTCCACCATGATGATGCCGTTGTTGGGTTGCTGCTAGATCAAGGGGAACCACGAGGAACAGCAATATGCATCATTTGGTTACCGTTTCTCGAACTATTCTTAACGTGTTCCCGGACTACTAGCTCAGATGACTGTCTTGCACTACTTACTCAGATTTCTGTTGCCTCCCAATCACACGCTGCGTAGCCATGTAGTAATATATGATTGGCCTACTCATCTATAGTGACTCAAATCATGCAGCAAGGCAATGCCCACAACCACCCGAATATAGGAGAAGCTGCCTAGCCCGGCCAAAACAAGTAGTGCATGGGAACGTCACGGACGACACCAAATTTATAATGGCAATGATGGACAGCCACGTACTACTTGAATCACCCACCTACGTTCTGCATGTGACTAGCTTCCTTGATTCGTTTAGCTACAATTTAAGCCTCAATAGAAATAATGGCACTTTCAGTTCGAATTAAGTTGCAGCAAGAGAAACAAGCTAGTGTAATATTTAAGGCGATGATACTCTCTCCTGTTCGCAAAGCACAATTTTTTTCCGCACAAAAGTTCTGTCCAACATTTAAAACATTGGCCACCATTTTGGAAATTATTTTGGGATGATGTGCACTAGAGCAAATATGAGATTTGGAGTTGGTTGACCGTCCGTTTCCAGTGAAATAGTTTCAGTCGACACTACGATGCTCGTAATTAACTCCCATGGTTTTAAATATGATATTGTCTCACCTGAAAAGTACCGATTGCACTCCCCTCCCCCCCCCCCAACCATAATTACAAGGCCATATTAGCTAGATGTGGGATGCCTTCAATTTCTCCATCACACTTAATAGTGCGCGCCACAAACTTGTCGGTGTGGCATAAAAGGAAGGAACAAAGTGATACCATTGGGCCACAAACTTGC